CCCGGGGCAGGCTCCGGGGAGCCTCCAGCCTGGTCCTAGGAAGAGGCGGAGGGCTGGGTGGCAGCAGGTGGCTGGCTCGTGCCATGCCAGGCACAGGGTCTGTTTGCTGGGTTCTGGCAGGCTTACAACTAGCACAAGCACTGTAGCCAGACCATGCCCCTTTAAGGGCTCCGGGGCTGGGAGGGGGGCAGAAAAGTTTTCCTGGTTTGGCCCAGAGTAGCCACCAGGGAAGCTGGGGAGGGTTAGCCTCCCACTAGTTCGAATTAAGTGGCTACACAGCCCTTAATTCGAACTACTTAATTCGAACTAGGCGTTAGTCCTCGTGGAATGAGGTTTACCTAGTTCGAATTAAGCGCTCCGCTAGTTCGAATTAAGTTCGAACTAGTGGTTTGCCTGTGTAGCGCCTATCAAAGTTAATTCGAACTAACATCTGTTAGTTCGAATTAACTTTGTAGTGTAGACATACCCTTACAGAATACTAATTATACGTTAGAATGATATTGAATATATCATATATATATATATATGCATTCACAAGTTGCCTGGTTTTCCCAAATTAAATTACTTTTCTTCAGGGCTTATACTCTCCATTTTATTTTTGTTTATGAGAATAATATTTTGTTATTCTTAATAAGGTCTGGTTTCAATTCTTGATGTGCTTGAAGTGTGTCATGGACTGTCAGCTTCATGGTGAAGATTGCAGGATATCTGAAACTGTATTTATTATCTGATCCCTTAAAAACTCATTGGATGTCATTAAATGCTACTCTTTTCTTCCTTACATTTACAAAGAAGTCTGGATACAATGAAACTTTAAAATCCTTATACGTTATACTTATGGTTATACTTAATTGTTCCTTTTTGCTTTGCAGCAAACATAAGCTTATTTTTGTCATTAAAACATAGAAATTTAATGATGGGTCTTAAGTTATTTATTGTTCTCTCTCCTTCTGGCTGCAGTCACTTACTGATTCTTTTCAGTCTCAAGGGAAGGCAAGCTGGAAACCAAAGTATCTGAGTGAATGTGTTGTGAGGAAAGATAATCATGTGTTTTTTTTCCTTTCAGACTTTCAGGATCTCCTCCCCATTTTCAAGATCTTTTTTTTTCTCCTCAAGATTAGTTAGTCTTTGCCTGACTGAAGTATTTTAACCTTCAACTCTAAGGTAGGTTTTCATTGTTTGTTGTCTAATTAGGTTAAACGAGCATTGATTTCTTCCAGATCTTTATAGATCTCACATATCTCTTGATATAAAAGAACAAATTTATAAGTTAAGAAATCCTTGAGTGAGAGAGGGCCAGAGAGGGATAAGCAACTTGTAGGCTAACTGAGGTGGATTCAACCATTAGACATACGTTAGTAGATAATAAGGAGTCCAGTGGCACTTTAAAAACTAATAAATTTATTAGGGTAATAGAATATATGCTTTTGTGAGCTACAATTCACTTCCAGATAAGAAAGAAAGAAAGAAAGAAAGAAAGAAAGAAAGAAAGAAAGAAAGAAAGAAAGAATACAGAGATGTGGGTGTGACAACAGTAGATAATGTGTGTTTATATATATATTGTTAGAGGCAGACAATGTAACCTAATAGTTCCTATCTATCACTGTATTCTATTAATTCAGAGACTGAAAGAAGATATTAACATATAAATGAACTGTAAATATGGTCTCAGAGGGGTAGACATATTAATCTGACCTTAAAAATAACATGCAGTGCTGTGGCATCTTAGGGTTTGTCTACACTACAGAGAAGATTGAAGCTGCCTTGTTAATCTTCCAGAGTTCAAATGAGCAGGTCTAGTGGAGACACGCTAATCCAAACTGAGAGGGTGCTCCCATCAGTGCACATAGTGTTGCTTCTCACGAGGAATAAGGGAAGTTGATGGGAGCATGTGCTCCGGTCAACTTCACACTGCATGGACAGCACCAAAACTGAACTGAATATACTTCAGCTCCAGCTATGTAATTAATGTTGACGAGGAGTCCTGTGGCACCTTATAGACTAACTGAAGTGTAGGAGCATAAGCTTTCGTGGGCAAAGACCCACTTCATCAGATGCATGTAGTGGAAATTTCCAGAGGCAGGAATAAATATGCAGGCCAGGATCAGGCTGGAGATGACCAGGTGGATCCAATCAAGGAGGATGAGGCCCACTTCTAGCAGCTGATCTGGAGGTGTGAATTCCAAGAGAGCAGAAGCTGCTTTTGTAGTTAGCAAGCCATTCACAGTCTTTGTTTAATCCAGAGTTGATTGTGTCAAACTTAAAGATGAACTGTAGCTCAGCAGTTTCTCTTTGAAGTCTGGTCCTGAAGTTTTTTTGCTGCAGGATGGCTACTTTTAGATCTGCAATTGTGTGTCCAGGAAGATTGAAGTGTTCCCCTACAGGTTTTTGTATGTTGCCATTCCTAATATCAGATTTGTGTCCATTGATTCTTTTACGTAGGGACTGTCCTGTTTGGCCGATGTATATAGCAGTGGGGCATTGTTGGCACATGATGGCATATATTACGTTGGTGGATGTGCAGGAGAATGTACCAGTGACAGTATGGCTGATCTGGTTAGGTCCTGTGATGGGGTTGCTGGGGTATATATGTGGGCAGAGTTGGCACCGAGGTTTGTTGCAGGGATTGGTTCCTGAGTTCGAGTTATTATGGTGCGGTGTGTAGTTGCTGGTGAGAATATGCTTCAGGTTGGCGGGTTGTCTGTGGGCAAGGACCGGCCTACCTCCCCAGGCCTGTGAAAGCGAGGGATCATTGTCCAGGATGGGTTGTAGATCACTAATGATGCGTTGGAGAGGTTTTAGCTGGGGACTGTAGGTGATGGCCAGTGGTGTTCTGTTGGTTTCTTTCTTGGGCTTGTCCCGTAGCAGGAGGCTTCTGGGTACACGTCTGGCTCTGTCAATCTGTCTCCTCACTTCCTCGTGTGGGTATCGCAGTTTACAGAATGCTTGTTGAAGATCTTGTAGGTGTAGGTCTCTGTCTGAGGGGTTGGAGCATATGCGGTTGTACCTCAGTGCTTGGCTGTAAACAATGGATCGTGTGGTGTGTCCGGGATGGAAACTGGAGGCATGCAGGTAAGTATAGCAGTCGGTAGGTTTTCGGTATAGGGTGGTATTGATATGACCGTCACTTATTTGTATCGTGGTGTCCAGGAAATGGACCTCCCGTGTAGATTGGTCCATGCTGGGGTTAATGGTGGGGTGGAAGCTGTTGAAATCTCTGTGAAATTCTTCCAGAGTCTCCTTCCCATGGGTCCAGATGATGAAGATTAATGTTGTGTACCTTAAGTTCACTTTCCCCTTTAGTGTAGATCAGGCCTTAGAAATTAACTAAGATTTAGCATCTGAGTTTTCATGTATTTCACTTCATCATATGAATTGGAATTGAAATACAGAATTCGAGATATATAAAACAGTTACCTGTCAATTGTAGGACCCTTATTAATGAAGCTAATTAAGTAGACTGAATATCCTCCATTCATAGCTATTGATGTGAAATGCAAATGTCAAAGACAGGAAATTGCCTCTGCAGTGTGTTAACCAATTAATATCTTTATTCCCACACGGGGAAGTGAGAAAACAGATTGACAGAAACAGATAAGTACCCAGAAATCACCTTTCTCACCTATCCGTCTTAATTCCTCTTTAAAGTATATAGAAAATCACCTGCAAAGGGTTGGAGCTAGGTAATTGCCTTTTGATAATTCATGGAGCTAATCACTGGTGATGTTTAGGAAATAGGAGGTTACTTCAAAGACACAACTATTCACCTGAAGACTGTGTGCTGTCAGGAGGATGCCGGAAACTATGCAAAGGGTTTTTGGGGCCTGTTCCTTTTCATCTCAAATCTGCTTATACTTCATCAGGAGACGTCTGTATGACAAGAATGAGATCTCCTATCCCATCTCATCCACCCTAATACTGCATATTTACACATTGGATTATATCCTGATGAACTGATTCTGAAATGGACTTTTGCAATTTTAAAGCTCGCCATCTCTACTATGAAACTGACCTAAGGATTCTAATCATGTCTGTATGAATAATAATCTTTTAACCAATACTTTCTCTCTTTCTTTTTAATGAATTTTAGCTCAGTTAATAAGAATTGGATGTAAGCTTGAATTTGGGTAAGATCTGAAATATTCATTGACCTTGAAGGTAAGGTGTCAATCCTTTGGGATTGCTAGAACTTCTTATATCATGAACAAGATTTCAGTAATCCTCATAATATTTGACTTGGCTGTCTGAGAGGAAGCCCAAGGCTGGGTTGCTTTAAGAGAACTGTGTATTTGGTTTCTTGGTAATCAGTAAGGCATTGTGTTTGTATTGCTGGTTAGTAAATCCAAGTATTGGAATAGCAATCAGTGTGGAGGATTGTCTGCCCCACTCTTTGCAGTTTGCCATAAGGGTATGTCTACACTACAGTTTTGTTGGGAAAATGGCAGTTTTTTCTGACAAAACTTGAGGAACGTCCACACTGCAATTGTGTTCTGCTGCAAGAAAATTGAAAGAACAGAGAGGGTTTTTCAGTATTGGTAATCCTCATTCTATGAGGAAGAATGCCTTTTTGTGAAAAAGCTCTTTCACAATAAGGCATGTGTGGATGAGGAAGAGGGAGTTTTTTCAAAAGAAGAGGGAAGAGAAAAAAGCACAGGTGCCCTGGTGGCCGTTCTGTCCATAGCAATCACTGCTTACATGCGAGATAGTGTCCGGGCAGTTGGACACTATTTTTCGAAAAAGCGCATTGCTTTTTCAATGTGCTTTTGCAGTGTGGACGCTCTCTTTCACAAGAAGTTTTTTCAGAAGATCTCTTCCAAAAAAAGCTTCTTGCGCAAGAAGCCTGTAGTCTAGATGTAACCTAATAGACCAATTCCAGTGCAGCCTCCTAGGGTACTGACACCTTTCGGGCTCCAAAGTCTTGTTGAGAGATTGCTGGGTTTCCTTGGCTTTGCCTTTCTTTGGAGACTAAGGGTACATTTACATTGCAAGGCTATTTTGGGATACCAGAGGTATCTTGAAATAGCTACCCGTGTCTTTTGAATGTGTCAGCTATTACAAAATATAGTGGATGTGCTATTTTGGCATCCCTGTAAACCTCGTTCCATGCAGCACCCTCGGCTGTCACTGGTCAGGATGCAGGAGAGTTTTGGCCTGGACTGGTGCTAATATACTGGGTATTCAAGGTCTTAGAATCATAGAATCATAGAATAGAATCATAGGATACTGGGACTGGAAGGGACCTTGAGATGTCATCGAGTCCAGTCCCCTGCCTTCATGGCAGGACCAAGTACTGACTAGACCATCCCTGATAGACATTTATTTAACCTACTCTTAAATATCTCCAGAGATGGAGATTCCACAACCTCCCTGGGCAATTTATTCCAGTGTTTGACCACCCTAACAGTTAGGAACTTTTTCCTAATGTCCAATCTAAACTTCCCTTGCTGCAGTTTAAGCCCATTGCTTCTTGTTCTATCCTCAGAGGCCAAGATGAACAAGTTTTCTCCCCCTTCCTCATGACACCCTTTTAGATACCTGAAAACTGCTATCATGTCCCCCCTCAATCTTCTCTTTTCTAAACTAAACAAACTCAATTCTTTCAGCCTTCCTTCATAGGTCATGTTCTCTAGACCTTTAAACATTCTTGTTGCTCTTCTCTGGGCCCTCTCCAATTTTTCCACATCTTTCTTGAAATGTGATGCCCAGAACTGGACACAATACTCCAACTGTGGCCTAAGCAGTGCAGAGTAGAGCAGAAGAATGTCTTCTTGTGTCTTGCTCACAACACTCCTGTTAATGAATCCCAGAATCATATTTGCTTTTTTTGCAAGAGCATCACACTATTGACTCATATTTAGCTTGTGGTCCACTATAACTCCTAGATCCCTTTCTGCCATACTCCTTCCTAGATAGTCACTTCCCATTCTGTATGTGTGAAACTGATTGTTCCTTCCTAAGTGGAGCACTTTGCATTTGTCTTTATTAAACTTCATCCTGTTTACCTCAGACAATTTCTCTAATTTGTCCAAATCATTTTGAATTATGACCCTATCCTCCAAAGCAGTCGCAACCCCTCTCAGCTTGGTATCATCTGCAAACCTAATAAGCGTACTTTCTTATGTCTTCATCTTGTGGGAGGACACCCACCTCCAGGATCTCTGTAT